GTTTTAGTTCAGTAATTTTACCATGATGGTTTACTACAAGGTTGTTGAATTATCAGTCCTGATACATTGACTTAGCTATATCATTTAACTACTTGAATCACATAATAAATACAATATTAACTTTAAAAGGAAAATCAAATAAATGTAGTAATTTTAGCATTCTTAATTTTATTTATAAATGTAAATTCATATACACAATGACATGTATCTGTTTCAAAATATATAAATCTTTTACAGGATAGAAGCTGATTACTTGTACTTGACAGCAAATAATAATGTCTTGGACAAGTCAAAGAATTTCCTCCAGTCTTACCAAGAAATGACAGTTGATCAAAGAATGGTGGACACAAAGTAAAAGTGCTCTTCAACATTGTGTTGAAGATTTCAGTCTGACTTGGAATTCATCTTGCAATATTTCTGGATTTGTATATTTAAGGAATAACTGTCTTATTTTTCGAATTCATGAAGTGATCAATGGATTGGCTTGTGTGATAATTTGCATAAACGCCGAAGGCGTTTATGCATAAAATTATCACACAAGCCAATCCATTGATCATCATGAATTCGAAAAATCTGACAGTTATTCCTTATATTTACATGCTTTGATTCCGCCAATCCACGGGCTCCAAGCCTGCTTCTCTCTAGGTGTTGTCCCGCCCTGCACGTGGTTTTTTTTTTTTGGAACTGCGCCAAGACATTCATGAGGAAATAAATTACATTTACAATTGGTAATTTTATCTCGGACAAAGACATTGGAAATGTAAATATTTGAATATAAACGTCACATTTTCAACATATTGACTAAACAGTTTTGCATTAAATATTGCCAATGCTATGTATTATTATTATTTACCTCCAAGATAACATGTCAAGTCTTTATTGTACCCCTTAAGCTCTGTTATACCAGAAAAATCTTGTAATGAAATCAATTAGTTTATTTTTTCTTGTTAGATTAAATCCATGAAAATAAAGATTATTTTTAATGGCATCAAGAGAATGGATTTTTTTGTTTAACAAAAAGATTGTATACATGTTTTGCTAGGGGTTTGTAAAAAGCAGACCAGAATTCTTTTCTTGCAAATTCTGTTGTTTGCCATTTTTATCATGTCAAATATTAAATGTTTTATCCATGATTGAAGCATTTCAAAATTTATTTTTACTTACAATTTAAAGCAGAATTCTGTACTGATATGACCTTGACCCCCTTAAGAACAAGAGTCAAGGTCAATTTTTAATGCAAAAATGTTATTTCATCTTTATGGCCCAAATCTTGCATAAAATATCATGAAATATACAAAAAGTGTCGAGAATGTGTCCAGAATGTGAAATAACAAACATGTATATAGCCAAAAACTTTAAAAAGTTGTTGCTTAGCAGCCAATTAAAGGTCATTAAACAGATATTTGAACTAATATGATGCATGGATATTGCAGCTCTGATCCCTTCTTGAGAGTATATTCAGAATTTTCCATTTCAGCATCCATTGTGTAAAATTATGGCAAGAATATTGAAAAGTGTTGAAAAAAATTGATGAAACTTTTGCACTTATTTGACCTTTGACCTCCTAAAAATAGTTCTAATGAGGTCAAACTTTAAGACAATTTATCTGCTGTTCATCCCTTGTAATTCTATGACCTCACATCTAACTTTTATATGTGCTGGGATGCATAAATGTGTCTAGGATGAGTAATAAACGAAAATTCTTGCCCGAAAATCAAAAAATTCTGGGTTGCTAAGCAACCGCTTTTAAGTAGTTATATGCAGAATTGAAAAAAAAAGTTTATATGTTTCATGTAGTACAGTATCATGCTCTTTTGTGAGTATATTCAAAATTTCCTATTTCAACATACATCAAAGTAAATATGAAATATACATTTTTTGCATTTGAAGATTAAAAAGTATAAAAAAATCCCATAAAATGTTGCACTTCATTGACCTTTGACCTCCATTTTTACTAATAAGGTCAGTTGTTGAGTATCTGAATAGTCATAAAATATCATCTCTAAGACATTCCCTACAAAATGGTATGCAATATACCTAGCTTTCTCCTTGAATAAAAAAGTTGGAAATAATTTAATAATGTCATATCAAAAAGTCTCCAGAATCACCTAAAATGTGCCGGTAGAGAAAGGGTTAAACAGCCTCTATTTCTGTAAGAAATATAAACTTTTGTGGCCAAATTCTATTTTGCCTATCGGGGTCTCAAGGTTTGTTAACATAGGGGGTTTCAACTCAAGGCTTTTTCTATTTTTTTTCTATTTGCCTCTTTTTGGTCCCGTAGAATTCCTTAGCAAAGGATTTTTACAAATATATTTTCAAAATGCAAAAAAATCACCGCTTCGGAGTTGAAACCCCACATGGTACTTAACCGGAACCCCACGTGTCCCTATACACGGTGACTAAGATCGCGGATCATTAACTGGCAAGATTGTAAATATGCAGCTTACGTCATTTCAAACCATTTAATGACAGACAATGAAATGGGCGGGTTCAATTCGTCGCGGACAGCCGAGAAAACATTGGATAGAAAATCAAGTTTGAAATTCATTTTCAATCCACTTGAGCCTGTTTTCAGAAACAGAGTAAAAACTGTAGAATGTATATGACCCAAAATACAATTTCAATTCCCAAATACATGTTGGTTGAAATTTATATTGACCTGACTTTATAGCCTATAATATAATCTTAAAGGACACTGGTAAAAGTCATAGAAGACATAATTATATTATATGATGACAAGAGCCTTTTCAGCTTTGTCTTCAATGAAAAATGTTTGATAACTTTCTTATTTATTTCCAAGAAAATGAATTTCAAGTCACTGAATCACAAGACTTTACAAAAATCAACAGCTTAAAAACTTACGACTTTTCCACTTTATACACAACAATTCCCCATGACAAATTAAAATCCAGGCTTTTTGATATCATTGACAGCTGCTTCTTCAATAAAAATGGAACTCGTAGATTTACTTACCTCGTTATTGGTCATTTGCAAAATTATTTTGTTAAAACAGATTCTGATTGCACACATAAGTACTCTGAAGTTGACATCAAAAAGATGCTTGAGTTTCTGATTGACAATATCTATGTGGATTTTGGAGACCAGGTATTCATTCCATTGGAATTCCAATGGGTACAAATTGCGCTCCGTTATTAGCAGACTTATCTTTAAATTCATATGAAGCAGAATTTATGCAAAATCTTATGCATGAAAAGAAGAAAAAACTTGCTGTTGCCTTCAACCCAACTGTTAGATATATCGACGACGTATTGTAAATTAATAATGATAATTTCCATTCCTACGTCGATACGATATATCCAGGTGAGCTTGAAATAAAAGATACCACAGAGTCCGACACTTTTGCTTCATACTTGGATATTTTACTTGAAAAAGACACTAATGGTAATCTAACAACCAAGCTATATGATAAACGTGATGACTTTAACTTTTCTATCGTCAACTTCCCTTACTTATGCAGCAATATACCTTCATCAACTGCATACGGAGTATATTTATCTCAGATGATTCGATACGCAAGAGCATGCTCTACGTATGAACAATTTCTTAAACGAGGTAAATTATTGACAAGCAAGTTGATGAAACAAGAATATCAACAGTCTCGTTTAAAGTCATCATTTCATAAGTTCTATGGTCGATACAATGACCTTGTCAGCAAATACAATTTATCATTGAGTCAAATGCTGACTGACGTTTTTCATACCGATCGTTAGTCCATTATTTATACACTGAATTGACGACGGATTTTTTCCGTTATTTCCTGATCATGACAACGAGCACACGGCGGGTGTGACCGGTCGGCAGGGGATGCTCACTCCTCCATGGCACCTGATCCCACCTCTGATGTTTCGGAGGTCCGTGTTTGCTCTCCTATTATTTTGTATATTGTTTAATAGACTTTGAGATTGAATACTGTTCGTTATCTCCATATCCTTCTTTCAAACTAGAATTTCAATTCAATATGTTTTCTCGGCTGTCCGTGTACTCGCCCATTTCATTGTCAATCATTTAATGTTTTGATTGTAAAGCAGATAGAAATCACATAAGCTGCATATTTCCAATCTTGCCAGTTAATGATCCGCGGACTTAAAGGTTGTCGGCGGACTTTTTATGCACCCGGATCGATAGATCCGAGGCGTATATTGTTTTTGTCCTGTCTGTTTAAGGCCCGTCACACCAAGCTGCGTTCACACGGAGTCACTACGGCGTTGTTAAATTTTTAAAATCGCCGTGGAATCGCTGGAAAACTGCACAAATTTCTGTAAAATTTTCATAAGATGAAGATGTCACGGCGTCCCTACGGCGACGGACGCGATCCTACGGCGATCTCACAGCGTTATACTGCGTTCCCACGGAGATCTCTCGGCGATTGACTGCGCTTCCGCGGAGTTTTCACGGCGCGTTAGGAGTTTTCATCTCGTGTTCACGGCGTTCTCACTGTGCTGGCTGCGTTCACAATACGTTCTATACTCATTGACTTAAATTCTTAAGGAATGTAAAACATTTTTGTTTAAGATTCAAGTTACACGATGAAAAAACTTCAATCTAATTATGCCAAGAAATATTCTTGTTGATTAAAATGTTCTATTTACATAATTTAGTACTTAACCCCTCTCCCTCGGAGCAGGGGTTTAATGAATCGACAGATTGATGAACAATAGATGATTTAAAAAACTCATTTGAGCTTTTGACTTATCTAAAAAGGAAAAAAAAAATCATTTATCACAAATGTTGTTGTTTACCGTAAAAAAAATCATCACAACTTATGTCATTTACCATAATTTAAAAAATCTGGCTTAAATTTCTACATGAAATGAGACAATATATTTTTTATTTGACAGCTATTTTTAACAAAATCAAACATGAAGCTAATTATATTGTATAAATCTTTTTTATTTTATTATCCACAATTTGATTTAAACATAAAATCAAAGTAAGTCACTATTTTTGAACTAAAAATAAAATTTGAAAGATGGTACATTTTGAAGCTTCTTCCATTTGAGATTGGAATTTTACTTGTATTCGTATTTTGTGTGATTCCCATCATTTAAGTAATTATACAAGTCAATGGCGAACTTCCTTTTGGTACTTCAAGTTTTTAAAAAGTTCCTTGCAACCTTAGGCCAATCTGGAAACATGACTTCATTCACCAGGCCTTTGCTTCAATTTGCGAAAAAGTATTTTTAAAAAAATCATTATACATGTAATAAGTATCATAATAAAAAAAAATGTAGTTTATTTTTTTGATAATTGCCTTCATGTATGAGATGAATTGGCATGATAATAATGGGTAGTTTGACATTAGAGTCGTACCTGTCCTCTTCCACGTCCGCGACCCCTCCCTCGACCTCTTCCCCGACCCGCCACTCCAGGGTTAATGGGTCTTGTTTCGCTCTCATCCTATATGTTAATAAGGGGGTCATTGACCATACTATGAACCAGAGTGACTTCATAATTCATTGTAAGATTATTTTAACAAGAGGCCCATGGGCCACATCACTCATCTGAGCACTGTGGCTGGGGAAAGAGGTGAAAAGCTTAAATGCATATGTGGTCACGACCTATCTTTAAAAAAGGAGGGGTTATGATTTGAAGTACTTTGAATCTACACTAACTAAAAATGATTAAATATTCCTTTGACATACTGTACACTACCCGAGAATACTTCCATTTAAATATGACCAGTCATGGCTTTGTTGTTCTTTAGAAGTTCCTTAGAAGAAGATTTTAAAAACTTAAGATTTTTCCTATATATTTCCTTGTAAAAATTATTTGACTTTCCATTGTGGCCCCACCCTAACCCTTGGGGTCGTGATTTAAACAAATTCAAATCTACACTACCTGGGGATGCTTCCATTTAAAAATGATTAGTTATGCTCTGTTCTTTTTCAGAGGAATATTTTTAAAAACATTTTTCCTTATGTTAAACTTTGATCGTCCAGTGTGGCCCCACCCTACTCCCGGAGGTCATGATTTAAACAAACTTGAATCTACACTACCTATGGATGGTTCCACATAAATATGACCAATCAAGGCTTTGTTGTTCTTGAGAAGTAGATTTTAAAAGATTTTTCCTAATTCCTATGTAAAACTTTGATCGTCTATTGTGGACCCACACTACCACCGGGGCTCCTGATTTGAAGAAACTTGAATCTTCAATACCTGAGGATGCTTCCAGATTAGTTTCATCTTTCCCGATATGGTGTTTCTTGAGAAGAAGATTTTTCAAACACCGCACCAAACTTTTACTATTTCTTAATTATCTATCCTTGAAAGAGGGTGGGGCCCTTCATTTGAACAAACTTGAATCCCCTTCAACCAAGGAGGCAATATTGGTGCCAGTGAATCTGGAGAAGAAGTCAAAATGTTAAGTTTACAGACAGACGGACAGACAAACTACTGACAAAATGTGATCAGAAAAGCTCAGTTGAGCTTTTGAATCAGGTGAACTAAAATTGTCACTGTTTGTTAGACTAACATTATGTGTTTTTCTTGGGGGGGGGGGGGGGAGAACAAATGTTAAAAACTATCGCAGACATTTTGAAACCAATATCTTTCAAGAGTATATGTATGGCCTGAGCCATTATAAATCTGGTGTTCTTCATCAGATTATTTCCAATACATGTAAATTCCAAACTTCTGTAAAATCACTGAACAAATTTCATTGAATTTGGAAAATAACATTTATGGGTGAAGAAGATTAAAATTTGTGAAATTCAAGACCCCCACCTCCCCAAAAAGCCTTTTGACAAGGCAAAAACTATAATATATGAAATTTTAGCAATCTCTTTAACCCCCCCCCCTTCCTAAGGAAGATTTCTAGTGATTTTGCAATGAGGTAAAACGTTAAAAAGTAGCAAATTCAAATATTCTGTCTGTTTTAACACGTTCATTTCTGTGCGATATCTCTAGAACCTTTGAGATCTTGCAATGACATTAACTCGCTATGGCCTAAGAAAGACCCCTATTTATTTTTAGAGTCAAAATTAAAGGTCAAGGTTGTAAATTCATACATTGTGTGTGTGTGTGTGTGTGTGAGAGAGAGAGTTAAATTTCATTTCGGGTGATATCAAATGGAGCATTTGAATAATTGCAATTAAATTTAATACCATAACTCCCTATAGACCCGCCTGCCCTACTTAAAATGTCCCCCTCCCCCTTTCAATCCATGCATGCATTTCTTTTTACCATAGGCGGGGGACACAAATTCTGTGAGTTAGCTTCTTTTATAAATATATTTATAAATTTAAGGATTTCTGACTCAGTAGTTCAGTTAAGTGTTCGGTTGGGGTACTAATGCACAGCCTTGAATTTTCATCATGACTATTTTCTAAGCATTTTCTTTTAGACCAGATTTTCCAAATTCATGCTTGTACCTTATTGCCATCTCCTGTTTTCTTTTTCATATACCTGCAAAATAAAATAAAAGTATAAAACTATTTCTTTTAGAATATCTCTTATTGCATTATTCTAACTGTTGATTCCATTAAAAAAATCATGTAATTGAAAATAGAACACAAAAATTCTCAATTCGCATTATTTTTTTTTATTTATGGCAATTAAACTACTGTAAAAGTTAAAACTTTGATGAAGTGGAAACATTGAATAAATGGATTAATTTCTTATAATAATTATAATAATAAAGTTTCCACTTGTCTACTTTTACTTTTCTGCTAAAAGAGATCATTAAATAAATCACAGATATAATTATTAAATTTTGAGTCACTCAACATATTAACATTTTCACAGTATATGAAATTCAAACAATTAATACAAAACTTTAGAACCTTGGGAATGTGAACTTAGAATTTTATGATTATATTAATTGTAACTTTCAAGTTTTGTTAGTAAAGGATTAAGAATTGAGAGAGAGAGAGAGAAGGTTTGAAGGTTGACAGGTTCTAAGGTGCTGTAAAACATTTTATTGATAAAACCTGGCACACAGGTTTAAATGATATACATTTACATCATGTTTATCATATCCACAAGGTTTGAAAAAAAATAAAAGTTTATCGATGGACAAAATGCCTACAGACAGATAGACAGAAAGATGGAAGGATAGATGTATCTGATAGAAAGCAAGATTATCTTCTCACATTTTGTAAGCTACAAAACCAATGACCCCAAGCACAACCAGGGCGCAGATAATTCCGATGGCCACTCCCCCTCCTCCCCCTTCCGACTCCTCCTCTGTTTTAAATATCGGCTGTAAAGTAGGTGATATGGAGCCAGCGTCTTTTTCTTCTTTACCAACTGCAAAATTTACTTTTAGTTTTGAGATAATTTCAAAGACTATGGTATAAACAGCAAGGATTTAAAATCGGCATTATTAGCAAAGGTGCATATTAACTTCCATCGTTATGATGGAAAATAGAAAATTTTATTTGTGTCAAAGATCTGTGGTAAATGATTCATTTTTAGCTCACCTGAGCTGAAAGCTCAAGTGAGCTTTTCTGATCACCCGGTGTCCGTCGTCCGTCCGTCCGTCCGTCTGTCTTCCGTCCGTCCGTCCGTCTGTAAACTTTTCACATTTTCAACTTCTTCTCAAGAACCACTGGGCCAATTTTAATCAAACTTGGTACAAAGCATCCTTGGGTAAAGGGGAATTCAAATTGTTAAAATCAAGGGCCAAGACCCCTTCCAAGGGGAGATAATCAAGAAAATACGAAAATAGGGTGGGGTCATTAAAAAATCTTCTTCTCAAGAACCACTGGGCCAAAAAAGTTGAAATTTATGTGGAAGCATTCTGGGGTAGTCTAAATATTAAATTGTTAAAATCATGACCCCCGGGGGTAGGGCATGGCCAAAATAGGGAATCCAAGTTCTACATAGAAATATATGGAAGAAATCTTTAAAAATCTTCTTTTCAAGAACCACTGGGCCAGGAAAGCTGAAACTTATATGGAAGCATCCTTGGGTAGTGTTTTATTAAATTGTAAAAATCATGACCCCCGGGGGTAGGGTGGGGCCACAATAGGGAATACAAGTTTAACATAGAAATATATAGAACAAATCTTTGAAAATCTTCTTCTCAAGAACCACTGGGCCAGGAAAGCTGAAACTTATGTAGGAGCATCCTTGGGTAGTGTAGATATTAAATTGTAAAAATCATGACCCTCGGGCATAGGGCGGGGCCACAATAGGGAATCCAAGTTTTACATAGAAACATATAGAACAAATCTTTAAAAATCTTCTTCTCATGAACAACTGGATTAGAAAAGCTGAAACTTATGTGGAAGCATCCTTGTGTAGTGTAGATATTTAATTGTAAAAATCATGACCCCCGGGGGTAGGGCGGGGCCTCAATGGGGAATCCAAGTTTTACATAGAAATATATAGAACAAATCTTTAAAAATCTTCTTCTCAAAAACCACTGGGCCAGGAAAGCTGAAACTTATGTGGAAGCATCCTTGGGTAGTGTAGACATTAAATTGTAAAAATCATGACCCTCAGGCGTAGGGCGGGGCCACAATAGGGAATCCAAGTTTTACATAGAAATATATAGATCAAATCTTTAAAAATCTTCTTCTCAAGAACCACTGGGCCAGGAAAGCTGAAACTTATGTGGAAGCATCCTTGGGTAGTGAAGATATTAAATTGTAAAAATCATGACCCCCGGGGGTAGGGCGGGGCCACAATAGGGTATCCAAGTTTTACATAGAAATATATAGAACAAATCTTTGAAAATCTTCTTCTCAAGAACCACTGGGCCAGGAAAGCTGAAACTTATGTGGGAGCATCCTTGGGTAGTGTAGATATTAAATTGCTAAAATCATGACCCTCGGGCGTAGGGCGGGGCCACAATGGGGAATCCAAGTTTTACATAAAAATATATATAGAACAAATCTTTTAAAAAGATCTGCATCACCCAAGTTACTCAGGTGAGCGATGTGGCCCATGGGCCTCTTGTAATTTGTATTTTAGTAAAAAGAGAGTTTTGCATATTAAAAATACCTTGAAACCCTACCATGATAAATCATTTCGGACTATTTCATTGTTAGGTACAAATTATTGTCATTATACATTGAATAACTCAATCTTATCTGTTTAATACTTTTATTGCAAAATAATACTTGTGTGATCTCCAAAGAAATCTTTTTTTATTTTGTGCCGTAGGACTGTACCCTGTACATAATAAAATCTTTATTTTTTCTATATTTTATCAGAAAAAATGAAATGTACTTATATTTTATAAATAAACATTGGCTGAAAAATTCATCTTGGTGAGCCCGTTTTTTATTTTTTTAAAAATGCTTTGTCCACCATTTTACCAGGCAACTCACAATCACCATTTAAAAAAAAATCATATTCCAATACTGTAGTTTCCTTATTTTTCGCGAGTACTTTTTATCGCAAATGGGCTCTACAACAGCAAATCACGGCGGGAATAAGGATTCGCGAATGGACGGTTGATCAAGAGTTTTAACATATTTCAGCACCTTAAAAATAAAGGCGAATAATTTAATTTCGCGTTTGGTGCTTCTCGCGAAATTACGTGATAATTAATTCCACGCGTATATTTAGGAATCTACAGATACATGTACTAAGATATCATCAGTATTATTGTACAGCCCTATCCCCAAAAAATGTGGAAGAGCATGTCCAAGTCTATTCAATCACATTGTAATCGATTAAAATACAATATCTTACCCATACACTTCATATACCTTATAGCAGGTTTTTTTAAGCCTGTGTTAAATTCTGCATATTGTTTGCTGAAGGTATAAAGTTGGTTGACACAGATCACAGGTACTTGTGGACAGGACCCCCCCCCCCCTGATAGAAAGCAAGATTATCTTCTCACATTTTGTAAGCTACAAAACCAATGACCCCAAGCACAACCAGGGCGCAGATAATTCCGATGGCCACTCCCCCTCCTCCCCCTTCCGACTCCTCCTCTGTTTTAAATATCGGCTGTAAAGTAGGTGATATGGAGCCAGCGTCTTTTTCTTCTTTACCAACTGCAAAATTTACTTTTAGTTTTGAGATAATTTCAAAGACTATGGTATAAACAGCAAGGATTTAAAATCGGCATTATTAGCAAAGGTGCATATTAACTTCCATCGTTATGATGGAAAATAGAAAATTTTATTTGTGTCAAAGATCTGTGGTAAATGATTCATTTTAATTTGTATTTTAGTAAAAAGAGAGTTTTGCATATTAAAAATACCTTGAAACCCTACCATGATAAATCATTTCGGACTATTTCATTGTTAGGTACAAATTATTGTCATTATACATTGAATAACTCAATCTTATCTGTTTAATACTTTTATTGCAAAATAATACTTGTGTGATCTCCAAAGAAATCTTTTTTTATTTTGTGCCGTAGGACTGTACCCTGTACATAATAAAATCTTTATTTTTTCTATATTTTATCAGAAAAAATGAAATGTACTTATATTTTATAAATAAACATTGGCTGAAAAATTCATCTTGGTGAGCCCGTTTTTTATTTTTTTAAAAATGCTTTGTCCACCATTTTACCAGGCAACTCACAATCACCATTTAAAAAAAAATCATATTCCAATACTGTAGTTTCCTTATTTTTCGCGAGTACTTTTTATCGCAAATGGGCTCTACAACAGCAAATCACGGCGGGAATAAGGATTCGCGAATGGACGGTTGATCAAGAGTTTTAACATATTTCAGCACCTTAAAAATAAAGGCGAATAATTTAATTTCGCGTTTGGTGCTTCTCGCGAAATTACGTGATAATTAATTCCACGCGTATATTTAGGAATCTACAGATACATGTACTAAGATATCATCAGTATTATTGTACAGCCCTATCCCCAAAAAATGTGGAAGAGCATGTCCAAGTCTATTCAATCACATTGTAATCGATTAAAATACAATATCTTACCCATACACTTCATATACCTTATAGCAGGTTTTTTTAAGCCTGTGTTAAATTCTGCATATTGTTTGCTGAAGGTATAAAGTTGGTTGACACAGATCACAGGTACTTGTGGACAGGACCCCCCCCCCCCCCCCTGATAGAAAGCAAGATTATCTTCTCACATTTTGTAAGCTACAAAACCAATGACCCCAAGCACAACCAGGGCGCAGATAATTCCGATGGCCACTCCCCCTCCTCCCCCTTCCGACTCCTCCTCTGTTTTAAATATCGGCTGTAAAGTAGGTGATATGGAGCCAGCGTCTTTTTCTTCTTTACCAACTGCAAAATTTACTTTTAGTTTTGAGATAATTTCAAAGACTATGGTATAAACAGCAAGGATTTAAAATCGGCATTATTAGCAAAGGTGCATATTAACTTCCATCGTTATGATGGAAAATAGAAAATTTTATTTGTGTCAAAGATCTGTGGTAAATGATTCATTTTAATTTGTATTTTAGTAAAAAGAGAGTTTTGCATATTAAAAATACCTTGAAACCCTACCATGATAAATCATTTCGGACTATTTCATTGTTAGGTACAAATTATTGTCATTATACATTGAATAACTCAATCTTATCTGTTTAATACTTTTATTGCAAAATAATACTTGTGTGATCTCCAAAGAAATCTTTTTTTATTTTGTGCCGTAGGACTGTACCCTGTACATAATAAAATCTTTATTTTTTCTATATTTTATCAGAAAAAATGAAATGTACTTATATTTTATAAATAAACATTGGCTGAAAAATTCATCTTGGTGAGCCCGTTTTTTATTTTTTTAAAAATGCTTTGTCCACTATTTTACCAGGCAACTCACAATCACCATTTAAAAAAAAATCATATTCCAATACTGTAGTTTCCTTATTTTTCGCGAGTACTTTTTATCGCAAATGGGCTCTACAACAGCAAATCACGGCGGGAATAAGGATTCGCGAATGGACGGTTGATCAAGAGTTTTAACATATTTCAGCACCTTAAAAATAAAGGCGAATAATTTAATTTCGCGTTTGGTGCTTCTCGCGAAATTACGTGATAATTAATTCCACGCGTATATTTAGGAATCTACAGATACATGTACTAAGATATCATCAGTATTATTGTACAGCCCTATCCCCAAAAAATGTGGAAGAGCATGTCCAAGTCTATTCAATCACATTGTAATCGATTAAAATACAATATCTTACCCATACACTTCATATACCTTATAGCAGGTTTTTTTCAGCCTGTGTTAAATTCTGCATATTGTTTGCTGAAGGTATAAAGTTGGTTGACACAGATCACAGGTACTTGTGGACAGGACCCCCCCCCCCTGATAGAAAGCAAGATTATCTTCTCACATTTTGTAAGCTACAAAACCAATGACCCCAAGCACAACCAGGGCGCAGATAATTCCGATGGCCACTCCCCCTCCTCCCCCTTCCGACTCCTCCTCTGTTTTAAATATCGGCTGTAAAGTAGGTGATATGGAGCCAGCGTCTTTTTCTTCTTTACCAACTGCAAAATTTACTTTTAGTTTTGAGATAATTTCAAAGACTATGGTATAAACAGCAAGGATTTAAAATCGGCATTATTAGCAAAGGTGCATATTAACTTCCATCGTTATGATGGAAAATAGAAAATTTTATTTGTGTCAAAGATCTGTGGTAAATGATTCATTTTAATTTGTATTTTAGTAAAAAGAGAGTTTTGCATATTAAAAATACCTTGAAACCCTACCATGATAAATCATTTCGGACTATTTCATTGTTAGGTACAAATTATTGTCATTATACATTGAATAACTCAATCTTATCTGTTTAATACTTTTATTGCAAAATAATACTTGTGTGATCTCCAAAGAAATCTTTTTTTATTTTGTGCCGTAGGACTGTACCCTGTACATAATAAAATCTTTATTTTTTCTATATTTTATCAGAAAAAATGAAATGTACTTATATTTTATAAATAAACATTGGCTGAAAAATTCATCTTGGTGAGCCCGTTTTTTATTTTTTTAAAAATGCTTTGTCCACCATTTTACCAGGCAACTCACAATCACCATTTAAAAAAAAATCATATTCCAATACTGTAGTTTCCTTATTTTTCGCGAGTACTTTTTATCGCAAATGGGCTCTACAACAGCAAATCACGGCGGGAATAAGGATTCGCGAATGGACGGTTGATCAAGAGTTTTAACATATTTCAGCACCTTAAAAATAAAGGCGAATAATTTAATTTCGCGTTTGGTGCTTCTCGCGAAATTACGTGATAATTAATTCCACGCGTATATTTAGGAATCTACAGATACATGTACTAAGATATCATCAGTATTATTGTACAGCCCTATCCCCAAAAAATGTGGAAGAGCATGTCCAAGTCTATTCAATCACATTGTAATCGATTAAAATACAATATCTTACCCATACACTTCATATACCTTATAGCAGGTTTTTTTAAGCCTGTGTTAAATTCTGCATATTGTTTGCTGAAGGTATAAAGTTGGTTGACACAGATCACAGGTACTTGTGGACAGGACCCCCCCCCCCCCCCCCCCATATTCAACCCCGGGGCTTATTGGACATTTTTTCAAAAATTATATTTATTACACTTATTCATCATGTGTACAATATGAAAAAATCGTCAAAACCCTGAAACAATCGCTCCACAAAAAATACCCCACTATACATAATAAGGGAGAAAGGTATGCGTCTCCGATTTGTTTACGTTGTACCCCCACTGGTCTTTCTGGGATTAAAACCATGTATTTATTTTATTTCAACCTAAAATGTCGATTCACATCGTCTCTACATATATTTCTGTCTTAGTGCATGCTGTCGGATTATCTCTACATCTCTTAAGAATCCCACAATATCTGATTATCTCCTTAAACAGTTTTCCAGTCAGAACGTTGAAATTTCCCTAGGTAATCGCAACGGAAGTGCATAGAGAATGTATCACTTATTAGGATAACGTCCGAGAGAGTTTTGGACTGACGTAATACGAAAAACAAGAGGCCCATGGGCCACATCGCTCACCCGAGCATTGTGGCTAGGAAAAAGTAGTAATTGGTTTACTATTGAAAAGTTTGAATCCAAAAGTTTGGCCCCGCTCTACCCCCGGGGGTCATGATTTGAACAAACTTGAATCTACACTACCTGAGGATGCTTCCATATAAATATGAGCAATAATGGCTTTGCTATTCTTGAGAAGAAGATTTTTAAAGAATTTTCCTATATATTTCTATATAAAACTTTGGTCGGCCATTGTGGCCCCGCCCTACCCCCGGGGGTCATGATTTGAACAAACTTAATTCTACAGTACCTGGGGATGCTTCCATATAAATATGAGCAATTATGGCTCTGCTGTTCTTGAGAAGTAGATTTTTAAAGAATTTTCCTATATATTTCTATGTAAAACTTTGGTCGGCCATTTTGGCCCCGCCCTAGCCCCGGGGGTCATGATTTGAACAAACTTGAATCTACACTACCTGGGGATGCTTCCACATAAATATGAGCAATTATGGCTTTGCTGTTCTTAAGAAGAAGATTTTTAAAGAATTTTCCTATATATTTCTATATAAAACTTTGGTCGGCCATTTTGGCCCTGCCCTACCCCCGGGGGTCATGATTTTAACAAATTTGAATCTACACTACCTGGGGATGCTTCCATATAAATATGAGCAATCATGGCTTTGCTGTTCTTGAGAATAAGATTTTTAAAGAATTTTCCTATATATTTCTTTGAAAACTTTGATCGGCCATTGTGGCCCCGCCTCACCCCCGGGGATCATGATTTAAAGAAACTTGAATCTGCACTACCTGAACATGCTTCCATATAAGTATGATGAATTATGGCTTTGTTATTCTTGAGAAGAAGATTTTTGAAGAATTCTCCTATATATTTCTATATAAAACTTTGGTCGGCCATTGTGGCCCCGCCCTACCCCCGGGGGTCATGATTTGAACAAATTTGAATCTAGACTACCTGAGGATGTTTCCCCATAAGTTTCAACTTTCCTGGCACAGTGGTTCTTAAGAAGAAGATTTTTAAAACATACCACCAAATTTTCACTAATTCTCAATTATCTCCCCTTGAATAAGGGCATGGCCCTTCATTTGAAGAAACTTGAATCCCCTTCACCCAAGGATGCTTTGTGGCAAGTTTGGTCGAAATTGGCCTAGCGGTTCTTGAGAAGAAGTCGAAAATGTGAAAAGTTTACGGACAGACAGACAGACAGACAGACGGACAGACAGACGGACAGACGGACGCCGGACAAAATGTGATCAGAAAAGCTCACTTGAGCCTTCGGCTCAGGTGAGCTAAAAACTAAACTCTGTTGGAGAGCAAACCACCCTTGCAAGAAATGAGAGAATTTGTAGAATGTGCGACATGAACTGTGTGGAAGATGAGATACACTCACTGATTGAATGTCCATTATATAAACATGATAGAGATGACTTTTTTAATATTATTGCTAAAAGTAATAAAAATTTCTATACTTTAACAAATAAAGAAAAAATTTTATGGATTATGTCTAATGAAAATGACATGTTGCTTATCAAGCTGGGTAATTTTTTAATCAATATCTTTAAAATAAGAAATAGCAAATTATGCAATGTTAAACAAAGAAACAAATAAATACAAATGAGTAATAATGTTTATACTCTAGTAAAAAAAAAACAAAAACAAAAAACTTTTATTTACAGTATATTGATTATATATGTTGTAATCCCCAACTGCTGTAACATCATTTATCTTTTGTTAGTTGCTACTATCAATTTTGAATTTCTTCTTGTATGTTTTTTTCTCATTACTTGTATGCCCTGATGGGCCCCAAATTGGTATTAATAAATCTTATCTTATCTTATAATCTCTCTCGGGTTTTATCATACATTCTCTATGCACTTCCGTTGCTTTTACTGAGGGAAATTTCAAACCGGAGTGGCATACCTTTCTCCCTTATAATGTATAGTAGTGGGGTATTTTTTGTGGAGCGATTGTTTTGGGGTTTTGACGATTTTTTCATATTGTACACATGATGAATAAGTGTAATAAATATTATTTTTGAAGAAATGTCCAATAAGCCCCGGGTTGAATATCGGGGGGGGGGGGGGGTCCTGTCCACAAGTACCTGTGACACAGATTTCTTGACATTACAGAAGATGTAGCAAATTCATTTTTACGGCTTACTACTAAACTGATAAAATCAGCCAAAGTACTTTATAACACCCTGCTAAAATACCTGCTATACAGTATAATAAACATAAAACAATAAGGTATAAACAATAAATATCTTTCTTGTAGCGTATCAGACTAACAATTACAATAATTACAGAAAAAATGCTCATAATTTAATTCATGCATCCTATCAGTGTAATGTACAATTCAGAAAAATTATGCATTCAGAAATCAGTTTTAATGCTGTAACAGAACTAGATGTCTCTTTACATGTTATCAGTTTTGAGAACTTGGTTTATTTCACTTTTATCGTCATCTAGCAATGTGTTTTTAACCTGTTTAAAATTATTTAAAATCCTTCAAAATCCTTTCATTATACATTGAATACTTTAAGATTATTAGCAATAATCACAAGTGCCCCATCCCCACAGGGACCCCCGACCCTGGGGCTACACATTTCACATTTACAAAAAAAGGTACCATTGTTTGATTTTAAAGCATTAATTTATTATAAGGATATATAATATTTAGAGCTCCTCTCCCTCTACAGTACCCCTGACACAGGGACCTTGAAATTCACAATTCTGGAAGAAGGACTCTTGCTCATCATAATTAGATATTATAGGAAAAGTTCATCTACTCAATACTCAGGAGCAGAGGAAAAAACAGATGGACTTCTGAGTTTACATAGTTGACCTAAAAAGATTTTTGTACTATTCCTGCAATTTTATTTGAAAGACTTTTAATACCTTCAGCATTTGCTTCATTTTCTGCGCCTTTAACTTTTGGTCCGCCTTTTTTCCCACAGTTTTTACTCTTTTTGGATAAGTGGGAGTGATCTAGTTTGTACCATCCTGTTACCAATGATGCAAATTTGTGCTCCAAGAAACCAATAGCCAATACCTTAGCCTGACATTGGAATGTCCCGGTAAGAGTATCACACAGATCCATTGGTATGGTAATTGAAAAATAGGCTAGATTTTCTAAAAAAAAAATATCAAAATTACATGCAGTTGGTAGTTGTGAAAAATATAAAATACATATGCGATTGTATGTCTTTTTTTTATTAGAATAACTTAATATTTAGGTGTTTATAAAGTTCTTCAGGCATTTTTAGAAACAGAAGCTACTGAAAAGATAAATGGAAAAACTTTGACTCTTGGTAAAAAAAAAAAGACACTTCAAAACACAAATAAATTAAACGCAAAATATTCTCACCACTGCCTGTTCTACCATCCCAAGCTGGATGCTTCTTTTTATCCAGCAGAATACGAAACTGTGGAAACATTCGAAATCTGTATGGATGTACAAACAATGCTTTTTTCTTCACCAGGCCTGCCAAAATCATTCGTGCATTGGGCCAGTCATCCAATGGCTGATAGAAGAAGTAAAACTCAGCAACTCTTATAATTTTTGCTTTGATTTCCTTCGTATCTACTTTGCACTGTAACTTCGTGTATCGTAATCCTTTAATTTCTTCATATTTTTCAGTTATTTTAGTATAGCCACCTTAAAAAAAAGTTGTATTTGAAAATCTAATTTTATTCATTCAGTCAACAGTGATCTTAAAAATTGTATAAGCTGTACAGTTTTATAAGTGTTATTTAATTACAGATGATCAAGTTGATAAAAAAAAAATTGTATGGTTATGTTTGTAAATGTGTGTACATTGATTGATTGTTTAACGTCCCTCTCGAGAATTTTTCACTCATATGGAGACGCCACCACTTGCCGGTGGAGAGCTGCAAATTTTGTCCTATACTCGGCACTCAGGGCCATTGAGCAGGGAGGGATCTTTTTCGCGCCAGCACCTACTGCGACACAGGACCTCGGTTTATAAGGTCTCATCCAAAGGACCAGTCTCCAGTCCTACAGTTGGATTCGAACGAACGACGTAAGGATTGACTCGTTACTTCGCGATTCTAGAGCAGAAGCTCTAACCACTGCGCCAAGCGGGCTGTGATCGAGGTAGGAAACCCTAGCTTAATCATTCCAAAAGGTTAAAGTTTTGTAAAATTTGCAAGAAAGGTTTAATATCCATGAACCCTAGATCAATGTAGAGGAATAAGCCAACAACATTGCCTACAAATATTTTTTGGTACAAGATGCAACTTTCTAAGAAAAAATATGGGAAAATGTTATTACCAGGAAATGACCAACATTAAATTTTCAGGTCAATTAAATGTGGTAAGGATGAAACAATTCAGCACACATACCGGTACTCTTTGTTGATCTTTGTTTTGCATCTTTTTCAGAAACTAAAAAAAATTATTATATTGTTTTTGTAATCCTTTAAAAAAATACTCGGTTTTAGAACAATCTGATTTCTTGAACATTATTATACATTATTAAGCTCTTAGGCTTTGTGTGAGTGTATTTCAAATCTGATATGATAACCTGATCCAATATAGGACAATCTTGCAGATTCCAAGTAGAGGTCTGGCAGAGTGTCCTGCATAAAACACAAACGATATTCAAGATTAAATAAACATAACATGGTAAAAGACTTCAATGATAACTTTTTTTTAGAAAGTTGAATGTTTCAACAAATAAACAAAAATACCAAAAGTTGAAGGTACTGCTTCTCTTCATCTTCATTTTTCTTACGTGTATCACCTATAAAATAAGTACAATCTTATATGAAGATGTGAATGTATAACTTCTAAAACACCCTACCCCTACTCCAAGATAAAACAACTGAAGTTTAAGGATTCCAGGTCTCATACTGTACACATCACTTGGACACAATTCATATTATAATAGCTATCCGACCAAAACTATAGGAGGAGTAATATTTTGAAGAATTGTTTTTATTAAGACCGACATATGGACAGTTAACAGACAGAAGGCAAAACGGACACTACTATCGTATAGGCGTTCTTGGTCTCTGACCAGTAGAGTTAAAAGTGAAAAAGAATGACATTTTTAAATAGGTAAATAATGCAATAATATGCAGACAGTACAACATGAATACATTAACATACATTTTGAACTTACTCCTCCATCCTTAGCTTTATCTGCATTAAAATAAGCATAGATGGCATGTCCTGCAAAACCGTTTGTTCTCGGAACCTTTACTAAAGCATCACATCGAAATTGGCCGGGAGAGTCACACTCATCCATTATGAAGTACATCTGCAGATAATCAGTTTTCCCTGTAAATATCAGTCTTAAAATTATTTAAATAGGAGCTTAGACCCAATGCTTTTAAGTAATGGAGCACTACCAGTATATTAACCAGCGTAAATTTCACCTTTTTAAATGCTTGTATTTACTGTTCGTTAATAAATAAAAAAGAATATCTTAATTTAAAATACAAATTAAATATACATATAAGTAGTATTATTATACCTCTACTGTAATTACACTATATAAAATTAATACCATAAAACTATCTATTTCCCAGTGAAGAGACAATTTCCCTCATCTGAAGACTACTCCCTTGAAAATCAGAGCTACTCCCTGGGACTACTCCCTCATGAATATTTATTAGTAATTTTAACCAATCAAAGTGTTCAGTGGGCGGAGCGTTCAAGGAATCTCGAGTCTGTGACGTCATGTTAGACCCAATGTGCCTGTGGCGGAGCAGATGCCAGGGTGCTGGTGGTCGGTGCATTATATTATGAGCATATTTTGTATAATAATCGTTATTGTTCTTTATTGTTTACGATCTAGATCTAGTATCTCGTGATAATCCGGGATAATTTTAAGTGGACTTTATTACAGACCACTGTTATAGAATTTGTCATTGACAACCGGTGCCACCGTCTGGGATCCGGGCGTTTCCGTTCCGCGTCCCTGTTGAGTTCGTTCTTTTTAACTACCAGACTTAGACGTTTTTAGGAGTTTGTCTCCAATTTATTTATTTATCTACATATTTATATGGTTACCGTAATATTATTTGGTCAATTCCGATTGCTGAAGTGCTGAAACTATCTATAAAGGTAAATACTCGACTACATTTCCCTTGCATTTCATTGTTTACTTGAATATTGTTTTGTTATTTGTTGATTAATAAAATACTATTTATTAAATAAATCAAAGTCATCTATCATATCTGAATAATCGTTATTGTTCTTTATTGTTTACGATCTAGATCTAGTATCTCGTGATAATCCGGGATAATTTTAAGTGGACTTTATTACAGACCACTGTTACAGAATTTTTGGGGGCTTCGTCCGCGGGATACTATGATCAGATCATGTTCTTGTTTTGTTGACATTGTTCATTATTTCCGTTACTTTTATTAGGCCTGGTGTGATTTTTCATACAGCAATGGCCTCACGTTTATTTGAAAGTCTCAGTACAAGTTTGCGAAATTTGTTTTCGCCTCGCCCTACGTGTACTACTTTTGAGAGTAATCAAACACAAAATGTGAACCAAAATCATATTGTGTCAGGGTCAGAATTGTCAGAGAATAACATGAATGAGAGAATTGTTTTACCTTGTACTTGTTCCTCCGAAATGAATAATCAAGATCAGTTTCATGACGCAGTTGAATTCCCCATGAATACACAAAATAACAAACGCGGAGGTCTATCCTCACAAGAAAGTCAAAATCATCATCAATTTCAGTCAGCAAAAAACAGATTTTGTATGACACAGGGTGATCCCTCCTTAGAATTTCAATTTGCAGATCAATGCAAAACCCCAAACAAAGAGACTTTGTTCTCAGAGAAATTGTGCGAGAATGATGAAAATTCGCAGGTCTTTCAGTCCTATACACCACAGAAAAACAATATCCCTGCCCCGAACACACAGTATCGTTCCTCATCAACACTTAAACAGCGTGGTTTGTTCCACAGTGAACCGACAACTTCTAGTCACATGATCAATAGGGGTTTCCCAAGGAATGCGGAAGCTTCCGGTGTACAATCAATTCATACACCAATACATTCAACCCCGTGTTTTGAACACAAAGTCCAACGCCCAGAAATTCCCTCTCAAAATTCATGCAATGTTGTTAGAAAAGAAAAAGAACCTGATAAGTTCGATGGGAAAAATGTAGAGTGGCCCGACTATTTAACACATTTTGAACAGGTCGCTTTGTGGAATCAATGGTCAGATGACGAGAAGGCCATACAGTTAGCCATGTCGCTTCGTGGCACCGCACAGCGAATACTTAGTGAATTAGCACCGGAACAATTATCAAATTTTTCGTGTCTTAAATTTTCTCTAGCACAGAGGTTTTGTCCCTCTGAACGAGAAACCGCACATAGATGCGAATTTAGGGCTCGAAAAAGACTCAGGGGAGAATCCGTCTCAGATTATGGGTATGCACTTAATCGTTTGGCAAATCGTGCGTTTCCTAACATACCGATGTCAAGTCGCGAAAATTTAGTTATTGACCAATATATCAGTGGTCTCGGTGACATAGAACTAAAGAAATATGTGCAGTTTGCACACCCCTCGACTTTAGATAAAGCCATTTCCTTGGCAGTAGAGTTTGAGGCGTTTGACGGAGCACATAACAAGACATTACTCAAACCGCGTAATTTTGAACAAGATTTTTTCTTGAATCAATCTAACGTCCGAGCCGTACAAAAAGAAGGCATTCAGAAAACTCCAAACTCTTATGCGTCAGATGAATCAGTTTTGTCTGAAATCACAAAAACCATGAAAGAACTTCAGTCTGCGGTAAACGAATTAAAACGTGCTAACGAATCCAGTTCAAAACCAAAAAATACCGCGAATTCAACCATCAGGTGTTATACCTGCGGCAAATCTGGCCACATTAGTCGAAAATGTCCAGAAAGACCTCACAATTTCCCACAGCAAAATGACAAAGCTACCTCATCGCACCAGTTTCCAAAGAATAACCCAAACGCCGACGGACTGTCCTTGCGACCGGAAGTTCAGTCCATGAAGTATTAGATGAATCTCCGAAACGGTCACCGGGAAGCATTCGGTTATCGGCCTTGACAGGTTCATGCTGGTTTGCTAATGTTTTAATAAAGTCATTATGTATGCAAATGTTGATTGATACAGGGTCTGCCGTTTCACTCATTTCAAAAGATATTTTAGGAAATCTAGGTCTTTGTGACCAACACTTACAAAAAGTGTCTACCGAACTTAAAACTGCAGATGGGGAACCATTACAAGTCTATGGTCAAACTGAAATTACTTTGGGTTTGGGAAAGAAAGAGTTTAATATACCCGTAATAGTGGCAGAATTAGGTGATCTTTCGGGAATATTAGGTTTAGATTTCTTGTCTAAAAATGATGTTTTATTCGATCTCGGAGAAGGTATATTGATCTTTCCTGATTTTCAAGTCCAGCTAGTGAGTGAAGATAATGTTGCTTGTGCGCGGGTTTATCTCGCAAAAGATATAGTCATTCCTGGTTCCTCTGAAATTTTTGTAGAGGGTGATTTAGGAAATTCACGTTTTAAGAGTTTAGAAGGTTTAGTTGAACCTCACTCTGGTGATAGTTTAGGTCAGGAAATATGTGTTCCAAAGTCCCTAGTAAATGTCAGTGATGGCAAGGTCCTTTTTTCGATATTAAATCTTAACCCAGAACCTGTCCAAATAAAGAAAAACACTCAAGTGGCGACCATTCAAGGTATAACAACTGCAACCGATTTGGTTGATAATTTCGAACAATTAGAGTGTAATGAAACTCAGAAAACTGAATGTTTACCTGATCATTTAAAAATCATGTTAGACAACGTTTCGTCTGAACTTACAGAAAACGAGAAAAACGAACTAATTTCGGTTTTATACCGATATACTGACGTGTTCGTGGGTTCAGATGGAAAACTAGGTCGTACTACCAAAGTTACTCATACAATAGACACTGGTAATAATAAACCAATCAAATTACCCCCACGAAGATTACCTTTAGCTCAACGAGAAATAGCTGAAAATGAAATACAAAATATGCTCGAACAAGATGTTATTGAACCAAGTTTTTCTCCATGGGCATCTCCCATAGTTTTGGTTAAAAAGAAAGACGGAAGTACTCGATTTTGTGTCGATTACCGCAAATTAAATCATATAACCGTCAAAGATGCGTATCCCCTACCCCGAATTGATGAGTCAATAGATGCACTGTCAGGCTCAATGTACTTTTGTACACTAGATATGGCTAGTGGGTACTGGCAGGTGGCAATGAACGAAAACGATAAAGTAAAAACTGCGTTTGCGACTCATAAAGGACTTTACCAGTTCAAGGTCATGCCTTTTGGCTTAACAAATAGTCCTGCGACATTTGAAAGATTAATGGAATTAATATTACATAGTTTACAATGGGAACGTTGTTTAGTTTACCTAGACGATGTGATTGTTTTCGGAAAAACTTTCACAGAAACGTTATCAAATTTGACAAAAGTTTTTGACCGATTCAGGGACGCAAATCTTAAACTTAAACCTAAAAAATGTATTTTATTTCGGGAAGAAGTATCCTTCTTAGGGCATGTTGTGTCAAAAGATGGTGTGAAGTGTGACCCTAAAAAGATTTGTGCAGTTCAAGACTGGAAAACCCCCGAAAATGTCACAGAAATAAAAAGTTTCTTAGGACTAGCCTCATATTATAGGAAATTTATTCCTGAGTTTGCTACAGTGGCATATCCACTCACTCGTTTGACTCAAAAAGATGTTCCATTTACATGGAATAGTTCCAGTGAAAAGGCATTTCAAACACTTAAGAAACTTTTGATTTCATCCCCAGTATTATCATACCCAAATTGTCATGATACATTCATACTCGATACGGACGCTTCGAACGACGGAATTGGCGCCGTACTTTCACAAATTCAAAACGGCGAAGAAAGAGTCATTGCGTACGGCAGCAAAACATTATCTAAAACCCAACGCCGTTATTGTACGACCTATCGGGAGTTGCTAGCAGTAGTCGTGTTTGTTAAACAATTCAAACACTACCTATGGGGTAGAAAGTTTTTACTTCGTACTGACCATTCGTCCTTAAAATGGCTTCGTAATTTTAAGGAACCCGAGGGTATGATAGCCAGATGGATATCTGTGCTTGATACTTATGATTTTGAGATACAGCACCGTAAAGGCTCTTTGCACATAAATGCGGATGCTATGTCTAGAAAGCCCAGACGTAGATGCCGTCAAGAAAACTGCGAATGCACTATTTCTACTGTAAATGCGATACAGTCTAAAAAATCAAATCATAATACTCGCAACGTAACAACTAACTGGTTAGATAAGTGGTCTGATGACTATGTGTCAAAACTTCAACAAAATGACCCTTCTCTAAAAACTATGAGTGAAATCATACATAGCGGCACAAATGTTTTAGATCCGGTTTATAGGACCGATCCTGAAATTCGACAATTATGGAATTTGAAAGATACTCTTGTATCAAAAGATGGTATTTTATATCGTCAATGGTTCAGTATTCCGGAAAATATCCATAAATTGTTATTAGTGGTACCAAAGTCAATAAGAAAAGAGATTATGTATCAATTACACAATCAACGTGTAGCGGGACATTTGGGTCGCGACAAAACTTTAGCTTCTATATGCGCTAGATTTTACTGGCCTGGTATGTCATCTGATGTAGAAAGATGGTGTCAAAATTGCACTGTGTGTGCACGGCGTAAACCAGGGCCAGGTCCAGGCAAATCCCCAATGCAGCATTGCCCCGCATACCGACCATTACAATGCATTGCCATTGATATAATGGGACCTTTACCCATGACAGAAAAACATAATGAGTATATAATGGTCATAGGCGATTATTTTACCAAATGGAAAGAAGCTTTTGCTCTACAAGACCATACTGCACAGACAGTAGCAGATGTTCTAATAAACGAATTTATATGTCGCTATGGTACCCCATACCGTATTCACACTGATCAAGGCAGAGAATTTGAGTCTCAATTGTTTTCTGAATTATGTGAAAAATTTGACATATATAAAACCCGAACTACTCCTTACCGGCCTCAATCAGATGGCATGGTGGAACGATTTAATCGTACTTTACAACAAATGCTTTCATTATTTGTCAATAAACATAGAAATGACTGGGATGACCATCTGCCCTATGTCATGATGGCCTATCGTGCCTCTCTTCATGAAAGTACAAAATGTTCTCCAAATTTATTAATGTTAGGACGTGAAATAGACTTTCCTATTGACATAATTGCTGGTAACCCACCAAATTATGAAGAATCATGCATCAATGAATACATTGAATTCGTAAAAGAAGCTATGTCTTCTGCATTTCAGCATGCTGGAGAAAGTCTTGAAAGTAGTTTTAAGCGTCAGAAAAAATACCATGATCAGAATATAAAACTCAGAACTTTCAGTGAAGGTGACCTAGTTTGGAGGTGGTATCCTCCTTGGGCAAAGCAAAAGTTAGGGTTAGGATGGCGTGGTCCATATAAAGTCAAAAGAAAAATCAGTAATGTCACATATCAAATACAGTCTTGTAATACAGATGTTTTAGTTGTGGTTCATGTTGACCACCTTAAACCCTATTTTTCAGAAGAGTTAGACTCATCCAATTATGAACTCTACAATACCTTTGAGGTACAGACCGAGTATGACTCGAGTAGTGAATCACAAGAAATTATGACAAACGAACAAGAATCCTACAGGGAATGTTCCCAACACACAAGACATGGTCGTAGAATTAAACCTCCAACTCGTTTTTCACCATAAATCACAGTGAACATAACTAGGCTCTTGCATGTGAATTGTGTTAAATTTCAGTTGATAGTTATAATACTAACATATCATTTTATCATGGCATATTCATTTATCATCTTCACCCTCATTATTTGTTATGTGACAATACAGAGATGGAAAATTAAGTCTTTGAGACTAATCACTCGAAGAAATTATAACTTAAAGTTAAGATATATGAATTCATACACTCACCCTTTGAGGTCGTTTTTGTAAACAAGGGTACATGTATAAATAGTTACAAGTATACTCATGTACATGATATTGTATTCATGCATGGAGTAATTCAAGTTATTGTTTCGAAGTACAGTAGGTCATAGTACCTGAGTCATGACTGATATATTTCAGTGTAGCATAGTGATCAGATTATTGCAATCTGTGTGCTTATACATACATAATATTTGCTATTAATATTTGTTTGAACATAGGTTTGCTATTTTACAGTTATTGTATACTAAATAGCTTGATGCCTACATAATTATACAATTATTGCATACTGAATAGTTACAGTTATTGTATACTGACTAGTTACAGTTATTGTATACATACTAGTTAGTTACCTACATATAGGAACTGATTGATGAGAGGAGACAAGATATATTCTTGACATTGAGTAAAATATATGACCTGTTGTCATTGTGACATTTTAGAAAGGTCCGAGTGTATGCAATTCATAGATTTTTCCTTTGGGGTTATACATTTTGTTCACAGAAAATTTTGTTAAAGAAAATACACAATACACTTTATTGGTGTTTACATGTACTTAAAATGGTAAGCAACATGTTTGCTATTTCCTCAAACTATGTGTTTATTTATTTACAGTTTCATTTGGATCATCCTTACAACATTTTCATCATCATCATCATTATCATCATCGTTTGATCCCATCCTTATCATCGTTGTCATCACCACCACTTTATATAGTCATGTCAATTATGGACACTGATGTCCTTGACCTTTTGGTCCACGATGAGGATCTTGCGGAACTTCTGGAATCTTCATCCTGCCCCTTTGAGTTCCATTCCGGAATGAGTTGTCCAGTAGTGTCCTGTGGTTTTACCTCCTTTACCACCAGGAAGAGTTATGCCAGGCACTGGGAGACGAAGCACAAGCTCCATCATGTTATCTTCTATTGTTCCATCCCAGGATGTAAGTCTACTTGCAAGCGAAAGACAGATATGCGTTTCCACCTCCGCAGTATTCATCACTTGTCCCAGCTGTCTCTAGAGAATCATCTCCAGCTGTGTCAACTTTAACTCAAACCGAATAGTAATTACATTGATCCTGGCAGCCTGAAATTTGTTTCTCGTCTCCCAGTTGCACCGACCACCAGCACCCTGGAATCTGCTCCGCCACAGGCACCTGCGACCTCATCTGCTTCTTCCGTAAGTTCCTCTACCATCAGTTCATCCTGTCTGCAATCCGCCACATCATTGCCTTCTGTCATTTCATCAGAAACGCCATCCGTCATTTCATCTTTGCCTCCTTCGTACGTTGCTGCGCCTGTTGTGTCATCTGCGACCTTGCCAGACTTTCCTCCAGTACAGCTTTCCACCGAAACCGGTAGCCAAACCGAGGAGTCCTCACCATATTCGTTATATTCCGTCCCTGTTGAGGAACAGAAGTTAGATCAGTTTATATTTGATATTGATTTTGAAATTGAACGTTTGATTAAATTGAAAGAAATAGCTAATGCAAGATTGAATGAGAGGAGTGAGCTTTTGCGTGAGAGAGAGTTGAGACGAGAGTTAGAGAGAGAGAACAGGAGATTGAGGAGTGAGATTGACAGCTTGAAGAGGAGTGAGAGTGAGCGTGAGAACGCATATTTTTCTAGAGACGAGCGTTTGGAGATGGTTGAGAGTGCGAACGGTAGTTTGAATTGTTATAAAAGAGATAGCACCAGTTTGTCAAACCGTCTTGGTAAGAAAGTTGTACTAGAGCCTTACAGGATTTTTGAAGAATAAATGTTGGTTTTTGTTTTTATATATGTATGTCACCTCAACTTATCTTACCATTTGTCATTCATCATCATCTTCATGTTTTCATTATTCCATTTTCATGTCCATCTTGAATTTTCTTCCTGTGCTTGCCTGAAATTACATTTGTAGAACTATGTACAGATGTGCTATCTGAGTATTTTTTTTTCAACAGTTGTGCTTATCTTATTTAAAGATTTTAGTATATTCAATTATTCATTATACATTCTCATTGAATTATCATTTCATGTTTACCTCGACGTTGTGCCGGTGACTTTCATTCTCGTACCACGTTTTCTGTCCCTTAATTCCGCCAGTGTGTCAGTGACTTTATTTCCGGTGATTCCGATTTAGACAGTCGTACCGTGTCTGTATGTCCATGGACAGTTTGCACGAGGTTGTGTCGAGAACTATAGTTATAGTTTTAACAAATTATTTATTTGTCATTTGAATTTGTGCTTAAAATTTGAAGACAATGTTGTGATTAGTATTATTTTCTATTGTATGTATACCTGAATATATATGTACAGATAAATAGTATACAAGCCTGTGTATTATTATGTGACAATGTGTTGATAGTTGATACAGAGATATGACATATGTGCATATTGTTATAGAGTTTAACCTTATGTGATATAATATATCTGTTTTTTTGTAATATAATGTTGTTGTGGATTAATTTAAATTGTTGATTGTTTCAACTATTTGAGCGAGTATCTGAGTATATATGCAGTATGTATCCATTATGTATAATTACAAATGTACTCTTCATATTTTTGAGAGAGAGACTTGAGTGATGTACTTATTTGCATATTTGTTATTTAATATATTGATGATATAGTCATGCATACTTTATATCTTGAGACTTATGTCTTCGACATAAGGTCTTAAGGTGGGGGGAATGTAGTGGAGTCGTATATTTTAATTAGAGTTATCTCTCTTGGATCTTGGGGGGTGCGCGGTTGTCATTGACAACCGGTGCCACCGTCTGGGATCCGGGCGTTTCCGTTCCGCGTCCCTGTTGAGTTCGTTCTTTTTAACTACCAGACTTAGACGTTTTTAGGAGTTTGTCTCCAATTTATTTATTTATCTACATATTTATATGGTTACCGTAATATTATTTGGTCAATTCCGATTGCTGAAGTGCTGAAACTATCTATAAAGGTAAATACTCGACTACATTTCCCTTGCATTTCATTGTTTACTTGAATATTGTTTTGTTATTTGTTGATTAATAAAATACTATTTATTAAATAAATCAAAGTCATCTATCATATCTGAATAATCGTTATTGTTCTTTATTGTTTACGATCTAGATCTAGTATCTCGTGATAATCCGGGATAATTTTAAGTGGACTTTATTACAGACCACTGTTACATTAACAATGTAACTATGACGTCAAAACATTTCGACATGCGATGTCAAAATCATACTTGAATTCTAACAAAATGAAGATAAGAATAATTCTTCGAAATGTCAGTGAAAATACTTTTTTCAAAATAATTTAATTGTTTAGGACACGATGTATTGCTTATCATACAATCTGTTAACCCGCATGCATTTGTAATTATGCCTCTACAGTGTTTATTAATTTTTTAAAATGTCGGAATATCTGGTTAAAAAAAAATTTAATCGCTTATGATTGTTTCGGTATAATAAAACAGTTATGGAATGTGAACTCGAGAAATAGCAAATTTATGGTTCCCCTCGGCAGGAAACTATTTCCCTCGGCGGCTTCGCCGCCTCGGGAAATAGTTTCCTCCCTCGGGGAACCATAAATTTGCTATTTCCATCGTACCCATTCCATAACTGTATATTATTTAAAATATATAAATAGAAACGGAGGCGAAAAAGTGTAGTGACGTTATTTAAAATAAATTCGTTCAACAGGTGGGGGGTGTTAAGCCCCTCCCCCCCTCCCACTCACCCCTATATTTTTTTTTTACAGAAAAAGACATGATATGGGCATTGAAAATTGTGATAAATGGCAGCGTTTGAAAAATTGATATTGAAAGAACTTCAATTCTACCCCTTAACTAGATATTAATACAAAAGGATCGGTATTTAGATAAACCACTGAAATGTTCTGATCGAAACACACATTTTTAAAAGCTAATTAGTAAAATACGAAAGATTACACATGTTTTAAGAGAGCCATTCTATGTAATTACTTGAAATTTTATATAGGAGCTGTGGCACGCTGAGTCTCAGAATTTCTCCGAACTCTCTATGATCATGATGATGAAAGTCTTTGATACCCAAAACTGATTTCGGACAAAAATTGGTTGCTAAGTGTTATAATTACCATGGCAACATGTCTAAAAGAATTTTTAACATGTTTAGAGCCCCATAGTAAACATTTGCAGCAAAGAAAACAATTGTCCACGACTCTTTCCCACAGCTGAATTAAAGCCTGATGTCTTAAATGCATGATAAACATGAATGGTTAATCAACTATTGCATGTTACTATGGTAACAAAGTATTCAAAAGTAAAAAAAAAATAATGAATTTTATAAAAACATGCACTTAAAAATAAAAAAAACAATCATGAATGATAGGATGAAATGTGACCAAATGATAGGAAAAGAGCCTTGAAAAATATACCAAGAACACATTATATTTTATGTGCTGTTCTTGAGAAGAGCAATTTTAATGATTTTGCCTTTGCATTATTATGCTAAACTTAAAATCCCATTGTGGCCCCACCAACCCCCCCCCCCCCCCCCCGTGATCATAATTTGAACAAACTTGAATCTACATTACCTGAGGATCTTTACTGGCTCAGTGGTTCTCTCTCGAAGATTTTAAAAGAAATTTTCCTATGTTTAACTTTTATCTCCCTATTGTGGCCCCAACCTACCCCTGCTGGTCATGATTTGAACAAACTTGAATCTACACTACCAGAGGTTGCTCCCATACTAGTTTCTTCTTTCCTGGCACAGTTGTTCTTGAGAATAAGATAATTTTTTAAGAAGCCGCTTTTTTTTCTGTTATTTAATGTTTTTGCCTTTGCATTTTTTTGCTAAAATTAAAATCCCATTGTGGCCCCACCTACCCCCCCCCCCCCCCCCCGGGATCATAATTTGAACAAACTTGAATCTACATTACCTGAGGATCTTTACTGGCTCAGTGGTTCTCTCTCGAAGATTTTAAAAGAAATGTTCCTATGTTTAACTTTTATCTCCCTATTGTGGCCCCAACCTACCCCTGCTGGTCATGATTTGAACAAACTTGAATCTACACTACCAGAGGTTGCTCCCATACTAGTTTCTTCTTTCCTGGCACAGTTGTTCTTGAGAATAAGATAATTTTTAAAGATGCCGCTTTTTTTTCTTTTATTCATAATTGTGAAATGGTGAAATAGTTTTAATTTTCATATATAAAGATTAATTTATGAAATAAATCAAAAAAAATATTTCGTAAAAAAAAAAATGTTGCCGTGGTTGGATTTTAACCGTGGTGCTTTGGATTGTGGGGCGAGCTGCCTATCAGCTGGACCATGAAGTGATATGACCACTGAATCATAAATCATTTAAATAGCCATGACAATAATTAAATCGTACTTCAATAAATATTTTATGTTAAAATTATTCTTGGATTGATGTAAGTTCCTTATTTTAAATGCCCATCTCAATATAGGAAAGTAATGAAATAATAATGTTTCTTTAATGTAATAATTTTTTATTCCTTGGTTTGAATCGTCTCCATATCAGTGAAATATTCTGGAGAGGGACGTTAAACAGTATACAATCAATCGGTTTTTCATAATAAGACAAGCCATATTGCGATCGAAAGCACTGCTACCTAGAAGCATTTTAAATTTTAAATAAATTAACAGTTTATTTTTATAGAAGTTATATCAAGGCATGTAATTATATGTCTATTCAGTATCCTGTTTTATTCTGTATATTTCATGATCGAGCTGAATTGTTTACATATGAAATTGTTTCTTACAAAAGACATTATTGATCAAATTTATTATTATACCCCCCGCTTGAAAAGCAGGAGGGTATATAGTAATCGTTAATTCCGTCCGTCCGTCCGTCCGTCTGTCCGTCCGTCTGTTACGCTTTGGGGTACCCATCTCTTAATCCGCAACTCCTCCTTTACCGCTGAATGAAATTTATCGAGACTTTCAAGGAATATTTGTTACAGAACGCCATTGTGCACCTCCTATTTTACTTTTTGATCCGACATATATTTTGGGTTTCCCATAGCAAAACATGGACACTGCCATTTATACACATATGGGAAGCGGGGGGTATCATTTAGTGAGTTCATTGCTCACAGTACCTCTAGTTTCCGTTACAGAATTATTATATCATAATATCACATATTATAGAATAGTAAAACAATAGTGTAGTCTTGATAAACCAATGAACTAGTGTTATTTTTCAAAGTATTTTATTTTTACACTTAGTTTAGAATATAATGATCAGTGATATAGAATATTATGCATTAAAGGTCTGTTACATTATCATATTAGGTTAATAACAGAGATGTGACGGATCACTATCCATGGGTTTTTGATTACTCCTTTACTTAAGGTATGTTTTATCCATGAATAAGGTCATGTATATTGGTAAATATAATATAGGCATAATAACAATTTATACAAATGCCTGAGTATAATGAAATTTATTATACCCCCCGCTTGAAAAGCGGGAGGGTATATAGTAATCGTTAATTCCGTCCGTCCGCCCGTCCGTCCGTCTGTTACGCTTTTGGGTACCCATCTCTTATCCGCAACTCCTCTTATACCACTGAATGAAATTTGATGAAACTTTCACAGAATCTTTATTACATATTGCCATTGTGCACCTCCTATTTTACTTTTTGATCCGACATATAATTTGGGTTTTCTGGCAAAACATGGACTTTGCCATTATAACTATATGGAGGCGGGGGGTATCATTTAGTGAGCTCATCCCTCACAGTACCTCTAGTTTAATTGTGCAATTGCATTGCAAATTGTAAATGTAATTTTCATAATAGTTATTGATGTTAGATTTTGTTACTTTTCATATTATACTATTTTTATAGCCTCAGTCCACGAACTTTTTGATAACCCCTCGTATTGTAGGCCATCACCATTTTAATTTCATTTAAGTGGATGCTGATGGTGTTCTGTAATTAAAGACGAGTGGAGACGAATCTTTTTGAGAATATTAGACAATGAGTATCTTTGTTTTTTTTCTTTAATGGAGTTTATTTATTTTCATTTATAATGTCCAAATCTAAATATTGAAGTCGATTCAACAACTTAATCCTGAGGTAAATGGTAAACGTAAGGTTGCAACACCAGTTTTATTGTCAGACAGTAAGGGTTTATATTTAAAGAGGGAA